GTGCGTACATGTCGAAGAAGATCTGAAGCCGAGAATCGAAACTCTGATCGGTGATTTGAGACCAATACTCATACAACTCCTCCTTGCTAATCTTATCAACCTTCAATCTTCTTCTTCTACTCAAAGCATCAAACAATTCCAACGCAAATTCCTTCGAATCCTTCATACCTTTAACCAAATAATTAATCAAAATTAATGTAATTAATCAATAATTAAACTGTAGTGGTCGCCGGCGTTAGTACTTACCGATGCATTGTGCGAAATCGGAGCGATAAAGGTAACCGTCTTTAGCGAGCTTAGCGAAATTGTTTTCAACTTCATTCCATCCGTTAGTTTTGTTATTGCTGATGAATTTGAGTCCACGAAGAGCCTTGTGAGCGCTGGAACGAGTCCGATCGAGCTGAGCGCGCTGCCGTCGTAAAGCTCGAGCTGCTAAAGCCGAATCTACACCGTTGCCTGTACCGACGACGGCGTTTTGGAAAAACGACGCCGGCGAAAAAGTGCGAGACGCATGTCCATGGCTCCATGAGAATCTCCTTAGCTCCGCTTTAAGCTCTTGCGAGAAATGCTTCGCTTTCGCGACAGCCTCAGCTTTCAACTCCTGTGAAAACTGACGTAATTTATTCGATGTACTCCGACGCATCGTCGGCGATCGAGTTTCCGACGTCGATGTCACCGACGCCGGCGTTTCAATCGATACTCCACCAATACCGACTCCGGTAGCAGGATCAGAAGCATCAATGTTGATTACAGTCGCCGGTTCAACGCTCCGTAGAATAATCGTATCATCATCCTGAAGATCAAGTATAACTTCAACAAACTCCTCGGAAACAAAACCGGAAATATTCCCGGAATCAGTTCCCGGCGATGACTCACCACTTAAATCCTTGCCGGAAGATACCGTATCCGACGTCCACCGGCGTTCATGCCCAGGTAAACCCCTCATTTGTCCCAAATCAAAGCACAATAAATAAATATATGTTGAAAACAGAGTTTTCTGCAGAAGCCTGACCAAAAGTTTTGGTTATTTTTATATACAGAGAGAAAGAAAAAGAAAGAGAGAGAAATGGATTTGGCTTTGTATGGAAGTTTATCAGAGCTTTCTTAAAAATGGTGAGGAAGTGAGGGTCCTTTCTGAATTTTGTTAGAATAGGTTGAATTTATATATAAATAAAATTTTAAAAAAGTAGTAACCATGCATTTGTAATTGTGGTGACTCGTATAGAAAGAATAGATGTTCATATCATAGTACCACATAGTACTAGTAGTACACGTAAAAAAAATCAAAGAATCAATTTCTTTCGACAACATCTTTTTAATCGAGCTTATCTAGTATAAGATCAAGTTTATTTGATAAGCATCCAAAAATAACGACACCAAAACAAAAAAAAAGCATGTAATAAAAATCAGAAATCAATTTCTTCTGTTAACGTCTTTTCAATCAAGCTTGTTGCATTAGAGTTAACTAATATAATTACAAATTATTATACAATAACAAATTCATTAGATGAGCATTCAAAGAATAAAGACCGCTAACAAAAATAAAATAGTACTTGTAATATTATTATTAGTAACAAAAATGAACATCCGTTGGGGTCCTCTTCTTCACAGTCAAACTTATGTCATAATATACAATGGTTATTGTGACTTTACTAATTTAATAGTAGCAGAAACTTTAATGGATGAGTAACAAAAGTTGGAGAAAAAGATGTGTAAACAATATATAAATTGTTGATACTATATAGGGAATCATCATATTACATTACAATAATAATAAACAAGTTATAATTTACCAAGGTTATAATAATGGAGTAGTAAAATATTCTTTTCGATTTTATTAAAAAGCATTGTATCTTTAATATCAAACTTGTATATACACGAAAGTATAAATATATAGCTGCCGCATACTTTAATTAGCCAAATAAAGATTAACGAAAGAAAAAGTCTCAAATTAATAGACATTAATTAGTCCACTAACAAAAGTTGCGTGCCTTTTTAAGGGATGAAATAATTTTTATCAAGCAACACTAATTAATTAATTAAATTGTTACAACTATGTTAAAGGAATGAAAATATCTTTTATTTTTCACATAACGTGTATTGAATAGTTACGTATCTTCTTGCAAAAAATAGTTATGTTAGTATTTTTCTCTTGTACAATACAACACAAAGTTGACATCACTTGTTAATTTCCTTAAAATCATTCTGTAAAAGAAAGGGTAAAGATTAATATGGAATACATTAATATGTATATGCTGTTAAATTAAATCTGTATTGTTCTATATACCTATATCCTATTAAATTGTATTTGTACGGTTCTGATATGTATACACTATTAAATTATATTCTGCATAATCTAGTATGCATACATCGGTTTATCGAATTTTTGTCATTAACAGTTAGGTTTTGATTTTCGATTTACCTAATAAGAAAATGCTCATTAAATAAATATAGGACTTCTCACTTTTCTAATAATTTGACGTGATATAATGAAACAAGCAAATCAGTTGTAAATGTTTTGATATAGTGAAACAAGAAAGATAATATTTAACTATGTAGATTGTATCGTAAAGTATGATATAATGTCTAGTTATGTTAAATTATTAATATTTTTAATACTTATGGAGAGTAAAGTAGTAAATTACTACCGTCTTAATGAGTTATCGGTTGACCCAATAATCCAATACTAAAACTAGAAACCGAATCGATAACCCAATTTTTTTTATTATATCATCAAAAATTCGTTAACCCAATAACCCAGTAGCAACAACTCAATAACATTTTTTTCAGTTCAATTATTGGTCGATTTGGTTTTTGCACGCCCCTAGTGCCAATTTTTATAGGGAAAATTATGCAAAACAACAAACATTTAGCCTATATTAGGCACTATAGCTACAATTTAAGAAAATTGTAATTCGCGGCTATAGTTTCCCCAATTCTTCTTATTATTTGTATAATTCGCGTGATTTGTATAAATCCAGTATTTGTATATATCACTTTCTGATTGTATAAATCCAGAATTTTGTATATGCGTACTTAGCTATTTGTATACGATTTATGAAAAAATCATAATAAATTACCCTAGTTGTATATTGCAAGCGAAATATATAAACGGAGTATTGAAAAATTCTAAAATGTATAACTACAAAATTTGTATATATTTACCCTATTTATATTTTCGCAAGCGAAATATACAAACAAACAAAAATATATACAAACGGTAGCCTCCATAGCAAATAACACTATAGCTATAAAACGCAATTATCAAAACTATAATTATAGAGCTTTATTATATCTATTATGTTTCTTATTTCTAAAATTTCCTTATTTTTCTACCCCAGACATGGATAACCCAATAGGTCAATAGTATATAACCCAATGGGCCAAACAGCAATCCAAAAATTAATTTTGAGATTGATAATTATACATTCGAAAGAATTTAAGCTAATAATTCAAGAAGAAATGTGTCAATATTGTTTTTTTCTTTTTATTTGTATGTATATGAAAAGGAGGGGTAAAAATAGTGATTAAGTCGAAATAAATTAGCTTGAACGAGTTGAATTATTATTCATCAATGGAATAATATATATTTTAACCTGTTCAAATTCAATCTATCCATCTTTTATTTTTTAAAAATTATGTCAAATTAAATAATATTTTATAAATTAAAACGGAGAGAATAATAAATAAATGCATTTGCGCCTCCGGTGCTTGGTGTTGCATTGACCCTTATACGATCACATCACGGTCAAGAGTTAAAAAATATATTCAAGGTCAGTGATAATATATATTATCAAGTCAGTCATACAATATAATAAATAAGTTTTATGATAAACATCAATTAATAACCTCAAAAGATTAATTGCTAACTTGCTATTACAAGTTGGAATTTAGAGGTAATTATTAATACATATAATTTTAGTTTCATGAGAGGAGATTTGACTAATAAGAGATAAACATAAGGTAAAAATGACGATATAAATTTCTTGTTTTGAAATGGTCCTTATAAGTAATTTCGTTGAATTCAGATATCTCGTAAAATTAATTGAGATATGTATAAGTTGATTCAAACTTTCTAATTATGTATACCAAAAAAATGTAAAATGGTCCATATAATATTATTACTACTATTGGTAGAACTTAACAAAAGATTTTAAAAGAAATCTGAACCAAATCGAAACTAAAAGCACAATTAAGTGAAATTACTTCAAAAAGTGGAAAGCCTAATGTTTTGCCAAACAATTTCTTGGACCCTTAATTGGTAAGAAAGTATATACATGTTTCTTGCAATTAATTATATAATATAATTGATAGAATATTGATTAAAACATCATATGATTCATGCATGTTGAAAAATAATTTCACTTTTTTATGTGTGTGTTTTAACTTTGTTGTTCAGTAGTCACGATGGAGTCTCAGATATTTCAAAATGTCTTTCAAGGAATATATGTGTGTGAGTTAGGATATATGGTAAAGTAACCCCAAAAATTTTGAACATATTTTAGAGGTAGAAAACAAATTTAACTCATCTTATAATAGAGTTTTATTTTTAAATTCGATAAAATTTCAACGTTTACAAAAGTACAGTGTTCGAATAATTTACCGAATTTAATTGGTATAAGAGAATATATTGACGCTATAAATGTTAAGACATTACTATATATAACGTAACCAAATAATGGTTCATATTAACAAGACATTATATACATAATATATATTTAGACAAACAATATCTTAATTGTTATTGCTTCTCCCGACATGTATGAATATTGTTATGACCATTTCGTTTTAAGTAGTTTTTCCTCTTTTAATTAAAGGCTAAGATTTAACAACTTACTAGATGTGAATTTATCAAAACAATGAAGAAAAATGAATGAGAATTACTTAATTAGGTAAATTATAACAAAATTCAAACATAAAGGGGTGGAATGAAACGAGTTTATGGTGGAATTTGTGAGTTGGAACACAAAAACAAAATCATCATTAACCTTCTAGAATTGATTCCCTTCGGAGATATTAATAAAATTGAAACAATACAAAGAAGATAGAATAGCCTGTGCACAAGGATGATATACACCTATCGACTATCGAGAAATTGTCCATAGAATTAATTAAATTTCCGAGAAAAAGTACTAGACATGTGGGATAACAATAATAGGGAGAGTCTCTCTAACATAAAATGAAGACAAAAATACAACATCATGAGGTGTAAAATAGAATATGGACTGGAATTTGGATATCTCTTCTTTAATTCATTTTCTTTTCAGTCAATCTCTTTCACTTGTGACATTATTAGGGTAAAAGGATCATATTATAAAAACGCGTCAAGTTTTATGAGGTTCAGTTTCTTCCTCTATTCTAACGAACTAGCAAAGTCTTCCACCAACCAACGCGGGTCATGATGGAATGATTAGGATCTCTCCACCTTTAATTCAAAGATTTTGGATTCGAATCTTGATCAATATATATAAAAAAAATCTTATTGGAGTATTGCCTCAGAATATTCCTGCAATGCACGATCCAAATATATTTGGACTCAAATATAAATATCGAACAACGATTGGAAAAACAAAAAAGAAGTCCTCCACCAAGTCATTTGAGACACTGACCTCCACCTACGAATACCTTAGGTTGACAAAAGAACTTTGACGATATCTATAGCTAATTCTTGTTTTTGATTGCTCTAGTGATATTCTAACTTTATACAATGACATTTACTAGTGGTACAAGTCGTAAAATATTCGATATATGTAGATATATATACAACCTATAAAATTATAATAGCTCAATTTTAAACAAGTTTAGGAACGATTATTTAAATTTTTTTCCGTGTTCATATTTTTGTATCATATGAGGATTTATAATAAATTTACTAAATCTATGTTATACGATAACCGATAACAATCCTTCCTTTTTATCTAAACGTTCCATTAGACAATTCGACCAAGCTCGCAGAGACCATACTATGGTAAAGAGAGGCAAAAATATTTGTTCGGAGTGTTATACATAAAAATATTTTCTTTTAACTATATATGCGATTTGTCGCTAATATGATGTTGAATTGTTTGTAGGTAACCAATAGAATTTTTCTCATAATCTTTCGCTAATTCATTATTAAATAGCATTAAACTATATTTTTTTGTTATTTAGCGACATGATAACATGATATTTCAATTTTATATGTATAAGATTTTACCATGTAAATAGTTTCAAAAATATGTGAAAATGTTCATTGACCAAGATGAGATATTTGTAAGAAATTTTTTATAGTATAGACTTGAAATTAGCTAAGTTTATAAACTTGTACATCATCATCCCCACTTTCCCTTGACTAGCTAAAATACAATTCAATCATATAGTGTCATATATTGGCCTACTCTAAAAATTAATTAAACCTTACCTTAACCAATAATAATTCATGTGCATGCATGTCTTCATGACTCTGGAATTTTACTATTTTCATATATTATAAGGTCACAATCTTAGGCCAACTGGCTTATATTATCCTCTTCTTTTTCAATATTCCTTTCCAATTGCCTAAATTTTATAGAAGTTTATGGATTAGTCAATCTTTTTTCTGAATCAGAAATTTTCTCTTTTTAGCTTGCACACTTTAATTTAGTTAAGGGTTTTAATAAATGTGAATTTTTATGACCTGCCCCTATGTGGTTTCTTCTGAAAAATGAAATATCCTTGTATGAGATAAGATTTGATAATAACATTGATCTTCTAAAATTTAATTTTTTGGTGTGCAAATAAAGTTTTAAGTTGGTAGCTAAAAAAAAGGGAAAAGACATAAAATTTTCCTGAACTTGTCCGCACAACTTATTTTAGCACTTTAACTATACAAGTGTTTCTTTACCCCCTAATTTAATTTGAATTGAATATAATTACCCCTTAAAGAGTGACGTGACAAAATTTGTATCACCAACTTTCCATAAGCGCCATAAGCGCGTGAGAAAGGAAAAGATACCAAAATACTGACACATATCATATTTTTATTGGATAACATACTTAATAACTTATTTTACTACTTTTTAAATATTTTATTTTGAATTAACTTTTCTCTCTCTATATTTCTTTTTCTGCATCTTCTTCTTCGTTTTTTTTCTTTTTCTGCATCTTTTTCTTCATTTTTTTTCCTCTTCTCATACCTCTTTCTCTTTTTTATTCTTTTCATTTAGCTCAAGTAAACATTTACTCCCAAATATAACTTCTTTCACATTTTTTCTTCTTCTTTTCTTTTCTATTTTTAATCGTCTCTTCTTTTTTTTTTTACAATTTTTTTGGTGTTTGATACACCGACACCATTTTTGACATCAAAGAAGATTATTAGATCTATCAGTTTAAAGCGTTATCAGAATGAAGTTGATTTCCATTAAAAAAAAAGATCGAAGATATAGTTGACAATATGGAGATTTCGCCAAATTCATTAATAATTTTTTATTTTTATGATCATAAATATTCGATTGAAGTAAGTGACACAAAGTGATCTCCAAATAAACCATGATGAGGTGATAAGTCTTATGAAACTTAATTAGTTTGAGGGAGAAATTATTGGATATGTCATCTTTAATAATTTATCTATATATCTATATATCAATAATATGATTATATACAAAAAAAAAATGTCAATCTTTAATAGTTTAAGTTGGAAATACCATAGTCTATTGACTGATCAATTACATTTGAGGTTCTTAAATAAAGGTAAAATGGGTGGTTTCAATAAGTTGCTAAAACATACTAAAAGGCACTCGAACTGTCTTTTCATGCACAAAAAATCAGTCACTAAATCACAACGTAAAAATATGAGCAAGGCTAGCAGAAAAAACGAATCACTCTCTCTCGGATAAATGTGTATTCATACTCGATATTTAAGTCTAATATAACAATTTAACCTTAATAGAGTGAAAATTAAAGTGAAAATACGTAACACTTAATATATCCAAATCATAAATATGTATATGAAGCATAATATTATTAATTTGATATTATTATTAAATGTGGGAAAAAAAATTATACCTTAATTTCTCTTTTAAATCTACTTTGGTTTGGAAGATTTGATCATTAGTAGGTGGGCTTCTAGAATCCCAGTAAATACAAAGCCCACGATTTTTCTGTGGGCCCATTATGGAAGTTTCAAAATTCCATTTTTGAGTGTCAATTTTTTCACCAACTCCTAAATTTTGAATTTCTTTGTGATTATAATTAATTGCCATTAAAAACTTATCTTAGCTCAACAAATTTCATTGACAATAAAATACATTCACATTTGTTTTTTGTATACACTCTTTGTTTTGGTAGAAATTAATGTAGGTTGACAAATATGTAAAATTCATGACTAGAAATGATGAGTTCAAAATTTTACTAAACTTTCTTTCGTTGTTGTTGTTTGATGAAGCATTTTGCTCAAATTATAAACATTTGCAGTAATCAAATTTATTTTGTTCAGAATGTAAAATATTAATTATACTCTTGCAAATACTACTTAAAACTATGAAAGAACTAGTTAAAGGGTTATTTTAGTCGAATTGAAGTATGTGAAGAGTCTTTTGGTCATTTTCTTCCTAGTAGTGAACAAAAGGAAAAAAAACGAGGAATTAATAATTATTTTTGGGATTTATCCTTTCGTCCATTATATATATGTTTTCTTTTTAATTTTTTGTATTGCGAGTCTTTTTTTGAATTTCAACCTGATGTTCGTATTCCTATTAAACTTGATTATATTTAAATTCGCATAAAAAAGTCTCAATATGATAAAATGTAGTAACAATGACAATGATTTGTATTACACAAATTACAAACTCAAAATATTTTTCACTCTTTATTATTTCTTATATGGTTATATGAAAATATATAAATGTGTCAAAAGTTGGACACTTCTATTGCACCTTTACCATACAAAATTAATAATGAAGGCAAGACGAAAGCTAGGAATATAATATAATTAACAATATTCTCATAACTTTTGCCAATCTTTTATGTCTATTTTGGAAACTCCTATTGTCTTCACATTCTAAAAAAGAAAAAGGCAAAAAGAATCTACGACGGTGGATAAATTACGTTTGGTTTATTGATATCTAGAAATTTGTTTTCAAAAGAAATAAATTGTATGCTTTAATTAGTTTTTTGAGAAAAATGTTAGATGGGAGAAAGCCTTTTAATTCTCTATTTATATATATACACACACATGGAGGAACATATTTTTCATGAACAACCATATATTGTAAAATTATGTGTGGATCATTTTTTAGTATTTGATAAACATATCTAAAGTGTGAACATAAGTCCAATCAAAAAAGGAATATATACAATTGATATCTTTCTTAAATTCAAGTTTTATATCATTTTGAGTCGCGATTTCAAGCGTTAATACTTATTCTTATAACAATTGTCATAGATAAAAATAGGAGAGCTTAATCCAAAAAAAGTTAATCTATTAGGTGAAAGAGTATATTCAACTTAAAACTCAGTACTATTTATCTCCTTTAATTTCAATCAATAAGGAATAACCGACAAACCATAGTAACATATGCTTGCAAATCATACTATATAATATCCAAAATATAAAGTATTTTATTATTATTATTAAAGGTTTATAACAAAGGGATTTTGAATGGAAGTAAAAAATACTTGTGTTCCCATGACAAAAAAAAAAATACATTTTGACTATGTTTTTTTGGGTTGTGAAGAAAATACCATTTTTTAGATATTTTAAAAAAAAAAATTCATGTTTAGTTCGTTAAATATTTTTTTTTTTTGGAAAACAAGTCCTATCAGTGATAATTTTACATCATTCCACGTTAGGATAATATTTTCTATTTACCTACTGAACACAAAAAATATAAGCAAGAAACTCACCTATTTTTTAAAATGATAGAAACTATTTTCCTTCCGTATAAATTTATGATGTTTGGGGACCAAAAATTTCTTGGTCATCTTGGATTATCTGGAAAATTGAGTGAAGGGAAATTAATTCAAAGGAATAATCACTTTTACCCCACATGAATTGGAAAAAATAAAATTTCATAACTTGTATTTCACGTTAAACCAATTATCTTTTCAACGTATGAAACTAACATTTGATAGTTTACCAAATT